ATTAACAAAAAAATTCCTAAACTAATGGAAGAATTTGATTTGCAAGTCTAAAGGCTATACTCTGTATTTCAAGTAAATTTGATATATTAACTGAAAAAGTAGAATCCTAATTGCACCATTAAATGTTAAAGAAGACAGCTAAAAACAGAAAGCAAGTTGTGTACACAAAAGAAAAACTACCTGATATCAGATATGTTGCATCCCTTCACATACAGCTAATATCAGAAGGCAAAAGAGAAGTATCTATAAAACATAGGGTGAACCAAAAGTACTAGTTAAGTTGTTTGATTATGTAAATTTCAGTATAAGTGGTAGTAGTCATGTGGTGTGAGTATGATTGTTTATGATGTTTGTGTATGGAAATGTGTGCTGCTGTGCACATGGATGGAGGTGAAAGGACAACTTGTGGAGTTCTTTCCTTTCACCTTTATCCGGGTTCCAGGTATGGAACTCAGGTTGCCACCTTTTTTTCAGCAAGTGCCCACTGAACCATCTCACTAGCAATTTCTTCCTTCTATCTCTCCCTCCCCCCTACTTCTTTACTTCTTTTATTTCTCATTTTGTAGTTTTCTTTCTCTCTTACTCTGTTTTTCTGTTGTTGTTGTTTTGTTTGTTTTTAAGACAGTCTTGCTATGTAACCCAGGCTGGCCTCAAAATCACTGTCCTCATTCCTCAGTTTAGTAACTGCTTGGCTTATAGATGAAAGTCCCTACATTCAATTTAATAGGCATTTTAAAACCTGAAATAACTCGGAATTTGTAGCAACCCTGAATCCTCCTTGGGGGAGAAAAAAATAATTACTGGATGATTAAATATGTCATTAAAATAGTTAACGATGAATGACTAATCAACAGAAGAGAAGAATGTGTCAACTATAGAGAAAATATTGGTAGTGAATATTTATTCTGCTTAATCATAGCCTCAAGAATAAACTGTAGGGTTTATGGTTACAGAGCAGGCTATAAAGGTAACATAACTTGATAAAATTGTAAATGATATGTATTGTGGTTACTTGTGCACATATTATATATAACAGAAACAAGTGTGAAAATATCACACAATCATAAAATGGTGGAAGAAAGTACAAAAAAAGTAAGAGTATTATTTTCTTCATCTTTTATGTTAGGGCATCAAGATATATTATGTACAACTGAAGCATAAAATTAGTAATTCATGATTATGAAATCTGCTTTTAATTCTATGTCTTTACTTTGGCTATTCATCAGACATTCCTATCCCCCCAATTAATGTGTGATTATTATGAAGGTCACTAACCCCCACAAAGAAAGTGTATTAGAAGGCTAGAGGTAAGAGCTGTAAAATTCCCATTAAAGATCTGCCATGTACTAACAAACTCTATTACTACATGGTAGTCCCTAAAACATCATAGTCTTATTGGGACCTAGAAAACAAAGGGAGATATTAAAAGTCTGACTCCCTAGAGAGTTAAATGGGTGCACTAACTAGATAAATAAATCACTTTTAAGTAGCACTGAAGTACATTACGAAGGTAAATTCAGAATTTCTTATTGTGTCCAGGAGTGGAAAGAATGTCATTTAAGGAGAATTGCTAAGAGTACAATGATTAGCCAGGCGGTGGTGGCGCACGCCTTTAATCCCAGCACTTGGGAGGCAGAGCCAGGCGGATCTCTGTGAGTTCGAGGCCAGCCTGGGCTACCAAATGAGTTCCAGGAAAGGCGCAAAGCTACACAGAGAAACCCTGTCTTGAAAAACCAAAAAAAAAAAAAAAAAAAAAAAAAGAGTACAATGATTAAGGAGTAGTTATAGATAAACTCTAGGGCAGGGATAAAAGCAAGATGAGGGCAGATGACCAAAGGTACACAGACAAGGTATATCTTCACAGGACAAAGTTCTCTTTGGAAACTTCCAGAGCAGTAAACTATGAGGTAAGTCCTGGTTCTACTGCAGCTTTGCTAGCTACGTGACTTTGGACACATCATTTAACCTCTAAACTTTAGAGATTTCTGTTTTCTGAGCACTATGGTTATTCTTGATAGTTTTACATTGCTGAGGCTCTGATTCTCAGGATCCCTCTCTTCCAGAGCAGGCTGCTTGCAGAACAAAGCTTTCTAACCAGCATTACTAAACATAACATTTCCATTCATAGCCTTTGCCAAGACTATGAAACTGGTAAGGTTTATGATTAAAACCTTTCCATCTTCCCAATTCCCGTGGAAACTCTTCCACATTCTTAGTTGGATGGACACTCCTCATCCTGCTGCTTGCTTCAATTACTTCCCTAATCCTCCACCAACTAATCTAAAGTCCTTCAAAGATTGGCTGACAATAGCGCAAACACTAAAGGAGGGCCAGAGATTAGAGAAGCATTTATGGGGAGGAGAGGTTTTAACCTAGTGGGATTATGTGGGCAAAGGGTGTCCAGTTTGCTGGACACACCGGTTAGATTTCTGGGAGAAAGGCTTTAGCTAGTTTAGATTAGGGGCAAATTGCGGGGACTTTGTTCCACAGGGTTGATGCTTTTAAAATTAACTTGTTTGACAATGAGGAGGTTCTGAAAGTTTTGTCCAGGGGCTGATATGAACAGGATTAAACGCTGTTCTCTTAAAGTTCCAGTTAAAATGTAAATCGTGTTCCCAGAGAGGGTAATGCTTTTGTTCATTAACTCTTATTAACACCAACAACTTAGAGAGATTCATTATCAAAGAGCAAGGTGCCTTAAGGGACTGGGTCACAGGCTTGGGACAAAGTAATATTGATTATGAAGGAAAAAGGAGCAGCTTGATGACTAGGGTGGGCAGACAAGAACCTCTCCATTGGTGTCAGATCACTTCTTTAGTGTCAGAGTTATGTTTGATAAACAAATAATAATGAAGTATAGTTCTTTAGCCTCATCTTTCTCATAGCCTCCTTTTTTAATATCTAAAATGATAATAATGCCTGTTTTGTATAAAATACATTTGGGATAAAAGACAAGACAAAGAAAGTCAAATGAGATGACAGGTGTTATAGCATGTTGCAAGTGACAAATTGCTGGAATGGTACAAATGATACAGCTTGCTTTTCAACCTCATAGTAACTAGCAAATAGTTAGGCACTTTGTAATATGTGTTAAAGTTTAAATAAATTAGCTAGTATATTTATTATAGTTTATAAGAATTATATGCAGCTGAAAATCTCTTAAGCAGTAAAGACCAAAATAAGAAAAACAGCAAGTGGTCAATGTAAATTAGATTACAGAAGACATAAGGATGCTTAAGAGATAGAACAATTATTTACCTTCACTTTTGCAATAGCTTCTGAAAGGTATATGAGTGCACCACTAGTATCCAATATTTGAAAAATATATATTTTTCAGAAGCTGTTGCAAAAGTAAAGGTAAATAATCGTTCCATCTACTGCATAATTAAATACAGGCTCAGAGTACTATTCTGTGTGATTTAACTTTAAATAAGCGGTTGGGTATGATTTTCTTATTAAAATAATTTATTGTCTTTTTTTGGTTTTGGTTTTTGTTTTTTAGATAAGGTTTTTATATGTAACCCTGACTGTCCTGGTACTTGCTCTGTAGACCAGGACAGCCTCAAACTCAGCGATCTGCCTGCCTCTGCCTCCTGAAGTGTTGGGATTAAAGGCATGTGCCACCACTGCCTAGCTTTGTCTTTAGTTTTTAACATAAGAACTGTTAAATTATTTTGCTCGAAATACTTTAAGTATCAAGAATATCAATTTCACTATACCTAGTTATATTTTTTGCTGAAACTATGTGATCATTTGAGGATGTTTATGTAAATTTAATGAGGATAATATCAAGTGTAAAAATTTAAAAAATATAGTCTAATTTTCAAGCCAAAATCTAACAGGTCCTAACATTGGACATTGCAAAGTGCCCTGATGGTGACTTGTGCTACAATGGATTTGTAATGATTTTATTCTTTGTCTTCCTCCAGCTTGTCTGCCTCCTTAACGATATCTTAACCTATTTGAGCACACTTAACTTCATAAAATGCTCTCGAATTGATAGAAATCGATAACAATACATAGGAGTAAAGGAAGAAATGAGATTGACCCATGGAGCACTCAGTTCGCAGAAAATCAAGTCCTAAGTACTAGCCCTGCTTAGATACTTACTGTTTTGGCTAAGTCACTTACCTCTTCTAAGCCACAGTTTCCGCTATTGTGAAGATAAATGACATTAGTAAATTATATTGAAGACATCTTCTACCTTTATCAGTTGAATTTCCATGTATGAGACCATGTGATAAAATTCTGTTCATTGCCCATAGTGCATGATATCAAAAGGCATGGAAATATGTAGGTGCTGGCCCTCATAATTTCATATAGAACTCTTGCCAAAATAATGAGAAAGAAAGATCATTTGACTAAGTACTCAGTTTGTTGGGTTGGGGCATTTTCATAGTGCACTAAACCTTTCAAAACACTTGGTATTTAAGTCTATCACAGCCCACACAGCAAGCCACACATGACAGCACATGCTTATCATCCAAACATCAAGGAAGCTGAGGCTGGAAGATCTTGAATTCTGTGTCAGCCTGGGCTGTATCATGAGATAGAGTGTAAAAAGAAAGTATAACTCTGAGATCGGTGTCATAGGAGTTGGTGGATGTGTTACTATAATGCATTTTTTCAGAGCTCCATTCCAGACCCCCCAAATAAGAAACTCTTGCAAAGGTGGAGACTGGGAATTTGTACATCAACTAGCTAGCTCCTTAGTTCAGTTCTAATGCTTTGGACTACAACACAGTATTTGCTGCAGGAGTGTGAGTGAGTGAGGAGATATTTATTCAGGGCACTTAGTACAGGAAAACAAAAGCCCTGTTTGCAGAACAACATATCAAAAAACATGTAACTAACAGTTGCACATGGTAGCATGTGAGGCAGTGGCAAGGGGATTTATGTAAGTTCAAGACCATCCAGGACTATACATTGACATCCTATTTTGACATGCGATAATAAAAAAATAAAAAATAACAAACATGGTGAGCTTGAAATAAGATTACCTGAGAATTGGCCTGAGTGTATCTCAGTTGGTAGAGCACTTTCTCAGAATGGACAAGGTCCTAACTCTGACTCCAGCACTGAAAAGAAAAAGAAAAATTGTACAGAGGTGGAAAGTGACATTTTAAATTTTAGACATAAAAGAAATACCTTGTAATAAAAATTTCAAGACTATCTCCACCCCATCTACTTGGATCCCAAACTACACAAACACTAAAGTCTCCTATATTAAAGTACTATATTTGCAATTAACCTACAAGTATCATCCCATATACTTTAAAACATCTCTAGATTGCTTATAATACCTAATAAAATGTAAATTTTCTATAAATGGTTATTATACTGTATTGTTTAGAAAACAATGACAAGAAAATAGTAAATACATTCAATTAAAAATACATTTTCAGTGGCAATGGTGGCGCACGCCTTTAATCCCAGCACTTCGGAGGCAGAGCCAGGCGGATCTCTGTGAGTTCGAGGCCAGGCTGGTCTACAAAGTGAGTTCCAGGAAAGGCGCAAAGCTACACAGAGAAACCCTGTCTCAAAAAAAAAATAAACAAAAACAAAACAAAAACAAAACAAAAAACAACCAACCAAACAAAAAAAAACCATTTTCAGTGAGCAGTCAATCAGTTTAATCCAGTGATGCAGAACCCATAAATGGAGGGAGTATAACCATATCCATTGCATTTTCCTAGAAGACAGGACCATGACTCTGCCTTACACAAGGTGTTAGAATTTCCCGTTTGAAAAGTGGGATTTCTTGATAGTCTTTTAAAGCCAACTTGTCAGCAGCTTCTCTGTGCTTGCGGTGCCTCGTAGGAGAAAGAGTGGAAAAAACACAGAAGAAAAAGAAAAAGAAATCACAGAGAGAGAGAGAGAAAGGAAAGGCAAAAGGCAAAACTAAGTCATATACAAATTAGCGGCTATGAGAGATTAAATAAAACTGGAAAGGATTGAAAACCAATAGGCAAATGGCTTTTTAGTTAAAGTAATTTTGTCATATAAGAGAAAAAAATGAGTTTGACTTGGTGTCTAACCTGCGCCAGGATCCACTGGAGGTCTCGATGCTCACACAAATGACTCCTCATGAAGTGCAGAGCCCGTTTCGCTTTAGAATGTTTTTAAACAGGTGGTGCTTTAAAAAAAAAAGCATCCAAAGCCTTTTGCATACAGCTATATACTAATTTACCAGACTGACAAATCCCTCTGGGTGACAGTGTTAGCCCGAGGTACAATGAAGAGCTCTATCTTGTGACTTTAGGACAAAGGGACATCCCACCCAGAATTATACTCCTTACTAGGCTATCTAAAATTCCCAGTCTCTGTTAAAATGCAAATATCATTCCTGGAAGCAGTAACACATTAACCAGTTCACACCATTAACATTAGTTTCCCAGATGAGTTTTAGCAGGTTTTCTTGCAACAAGGTTCTAAGAGCGTGGAATAAATCCCAGGAAATTTAGATTTTTATTTGGGAGGAAGGAGACTGGGTGAGGGTGGGGATGGTATTGAGAAAAATGCTAGGAACAAGGTCCTTCCAGAAGGAAGGCTTTGGGCCGGCCATCTGGGTTTGTGGAATATGTTGGAAAAAGGAGCAAGTAATGGAAGATGCTTGGGGACAGGAAGATGAGGTGAAAGGAGAAAAAGCTGTGAAGACCAATTTCTTTAATAACTCGGTATGAGCTCTCTAGAGCTCAGTATTTTCGTTGATAAAATAAGGGAGATTGATGAGATAATATCAGAGCTCCTTTAGAGACACACATTCTAGGATTTTTTTGCCTCACAATTTTTTTTTGCTCCCCGATGAAGAGCCTTTAACTATGGAGAAAGTTGGATTCCTAGAACCTTGGCAGGTAACAAGCACCGTGATTAGAAATGTGAGACCAAGAGAAGACTTAGGTAATAACTTGCTGCCTGTTTTCTCTGCTGATAAAATTCCAATATATCACCCATTGGTTTGGGATTAGTAAAGAAACTGTACTCTCACAGAGTCCAGTTGCCTCAATATAGGGATGAATAACTAGAAAGAATGTATAAAGTTTTGCAGTTTTGACTTTTCTTTTCCAACAAATTGGACTGGTGAGCCATAATGGCTCTCCCTGAGCAAAGGCTCAGAAATCGTCAGTTTGGTGACTTTACCAAAATCCATTAAACTCACAAAAAAATTTCTTGGCTATTTCTATCAGGGTCACCTCACAACAAATAATGTCATTCTAATGTATATGAGATAAGAGCTCCTTCAGGGAATTATGTTCTAGGATTTTTTGCTTCACTATATTTTGCTCCCCAACAAAGGACATTTAGCCACAGGTTAAGTTCAGTTCCTAGGACTTTGGCAGGTAACAAGCACTGTGGTTAGAAATGTGAAACCAAGAAAAACTTAAGTAATAATATAATATAGTATAATAATAATATTAGTAATAATAATAATATACATTTATTAGTGTGTAATAAAATCCCTTAGTCTTTGTAATTTTTTTAAAGCTTTATTTATTATGTATACAGTTCTGCCTGCATGTTCGCCTACACTCCAGAAGAGGGCACCAGATCTCATTATAGATGGCTTTGAGCCACCATTTGGTTGCTGGGAATTGAACTCAGAACCTCAGGAAAAGCAGCTAGTGCTCTAAACTTCTGAGCTGTCTTTCCAGCCGCCCCTGCTTATAGTTATTTATCTTTAAAAAGTGTCTTTAAGTTCTGTTGATATCTTTGCTGAGTTCACCAGAAATAAGTAGAAGGGTAATAACTTCTGATTCTCTAACACAAAATGAAAGGTAAAGAAAAAAGTCTTTTATTTCCAATAAAAGGAAAAAGGAATTAATTCTTATAATGTTGAGCTATTTAGTCCTACAGATAGAACAATTCTATAAACAATTTAGCTCAGCCATTTCATTAAACATCATAAAGTGATCCAGATGCAAAGCAGATCGGGTTTCCTTCAGGGACAACATGCCATTATGGAGAGAGCTGTAGGTAGGGGTACATACACCCAAATTATCACTTTCTATGCAGATGACCTAAAATCAGTTATTAAACATTCTTAAGCCCTGTTTTTGTTATTGTTGATTGTTTATTTGTTTCTTGTGTGTATAGAAGTTCTGATACTTGTAATGAAGAATCTCTAATTCATATATTGAGAAATAGTGTAACAACCAAGTGATTAAGGAAGATGTTTTAGATGCCTCCGTAGTTGGGGATGGGGTTAACAAAACAGAATAAGGGAACTAAAAAATGTAAAAGGTGTAGAAAACATATCCACTTTTAAGGAAAATTATTGCTGTGATTTTTCTTGAGTGCTGCTAGTATTCTCTCCTCCAGCCATTTTTTTTAAATACAGTGCCAGAGATCAAACTTGGGGGGCACGAACATGCCAGGTAAGCATTCTAAGCTCTGGCTGTGTCCCCAGTCCTTAGTGATGGTAATTCTCCCTCTGTTCTCAGCATTCAGTAAAGCATAGAGATAAATGAAATCCACAAGAGAGGAAAAGCTCTCTGTGCACCTCAACTACACAAGCCATTCCATGGGCAGGGGGTCCCACCTGGGTGCAGTTCCATGTGGGATTCTTGTATCCTATAAGAGAGTTTTACTTTCCTTCTTTACATTAAATATCAGACTCTTAGGTAGGTTCTTAAAATTAATTTTCTTTCTTTCTTTTTAGATTTTTTTTTTTAAAAAAAATCACACTGTAGCTTCAGGTAGCCTACAACTTACTCTACCCCTGGTTGGCCTTGAACTCGTGACAGTCCTCCTGCCTCAGCATCCTGAGTGTTGGGATTGCAGGTATAAGCTACCAAGCTGAGTGTTTCATTTACAGAGTTGTCAGTGATTAAAACAAAGGACCTTCCTAATCCTTTCAATGGTACAATTCAGGCACTGTTTGTAGGTAATCTTTACTCTTGAGGTAGGTTCACATGGTATACAGTAGTACTTGAATGTAACCTTTTCTCATCTAATATTTTCCAAGAGCTTTGGCCAAATGTTTAAACTCAAGATATCAAAAAGTTAAGATTCTTGCTTCTAATTCCTCTAAGGAAAACAAGTGGACATTTTGAATAGCATTTGTGCATTAAGAGTCAAGGTGGCTTACACTCAACCATTTCATTTGTTTTCAAATTGCTTCCACTGAAATGGAACTCAGAACACAAGAAAATATATCAGTGATTTTCATTTGCCCCAACCTTTGCTATGATGTGTGAGTCACTGTGTTCAAATTGCTATTTTGCTAGGCAACCCAAGCCTGTCTGCTTCTCTCTCATTGCTTTAGTCATTCCAGCAAGGCATGACTTCCCCTGAGACTTGGGAATTGCAGTTTCTGTTATAACTGACAGAGTTGTCAGATGGATTTGTGGAGCCACGCTTTTCACTGTCCTGATTCAGGCCACAGTGACAATAAACCAGGCCAGTGGAATGTATATGTCAACAAATAGGCTTTGAGACTATGAAGGAGTATCAATATCTGTTAACATGTCACCACTCTTCCAAAATGAGTTTAGATTTTGCACCTGAACCAAGAACTGAGAAAAGCAATAAACCTTTTCCTTCTACAAATTTATCTCTGGTCTTGACAATGATATGAAAGGAAGCAAACAATTGTAACTTCAAAACAAAATTAAAGGACTTAAAAAATCTACTTAGGTTTCTCCTGCTCCTCAGAACTGTAAAAAAAAAAAAAAAAAAAAAGAGGAGAAGGGGTATCCTGTAGAATATGATTTCAGGGTACAGTGAAAAAGCACTCTTTCTCTAAAAATACCTTCCTTTAGTAAATTGCTAATGACCCAGTATTTATCATTTAATAATTCCTCCATTTAATAAGCACTTGTGTCTCTTCTGTGCTGACACTAGCAGTAGATGATGACATAGAAGATAATAGTGGAGGAGGAAGTGAAAAGCAGATAGCACCAAGGGAAGAAAAGTTCAGAAAAGAGAGCTATGCCGTGCAATAGAAATCTCATACCCTGAATTAGTGACTTTCTGAGGTAAAAGATTTGCTTTCGAGGGGCTGTGTATGTAGCCCCGTTGTACTGTGCATGCCTACCATATGTGTAGTCCAGAATTCAATGCATAGTACTACAAAAAATTGCTTTCTGAATCTTTTTTTTT